ATCTTTAGGGTTGTATTATTTCAAGGTGGGACCCATAGGTTGTGACACAGGTACCAATTAAACCTAGGCCTCAAATTTAAACTGTGGATGTTACCACAAATGAAATTATAGATCCATCAAGAAATCTACTGATAGGATACTCATCATACACCTTTGAGCTTATGTCTCATTTCCAGACCTACAAAGCCTGCAGCGTACCAGGAATCCTTTCTGTTTTTATGTTGCCCAGGATGGCCTCAAATTCCTGGGATTACCAATTCTCTACCTAACCTCCCAAGTAGGTGGGACCACATGTCCCATCTCACCTGGCTTACTATGAATTAATATTTTTTAATAAAACCTATAACCAGGGGCTGGGGCTCAGCAGTAGCACACTTGCCTGGCATGTGTGAGGCACTGGGTTTGATTCTCAGCACCACATATAAATACATAAATAAAATAAAGGTCTATCAACAACTTTAAATAAATAAATAAAACCTATAACTAGCTTTTGAACAGGACAATTAATTATACTTTTTATGCATGCATTAAAGACATTAATCTGTTAAAAACTAAACCTTTACAATGTACAATTCCCATAATCCTGTTTTGGAATTCTACTCAGTGACCATAAGGCCCTTCACAAGTCCTGAAGTTCATGACAAGTAGCAGCACTCCAGCTATAGGCTACAGCCTGAAGAGTCCCCGCCTGGTGGCCTGAGTGAGCAGCTGGCATTCACACTTAGAGCTCATGACAATAAGGTGCTATTTTCACTACTTTTATAATATTCTTTTCTTTCATATTTTAATATTCTGAAGTGAGAATGCCTCCGGTAATTAATGGCATCTTTCAATTGCTTTAAGTCAAATAACAGTTGTGACATAATGGTCACTGCCTGCTCATAAGCAAAACCATCAAAACTTTTCAAATAGGTCTTAGCAGCTTAGAATAAAAATCTTGGAGACTACAGAGGAATTTCTGAGGGCCCTTATTTAAGGAAAGGGTTAACCACCCATGTTTAGCAATGATTTTTATAGGGGAGTCAAAAGCAAGCCATTACTATAGGTAAAACTCAGTACCATGGCCTTTTTTTAAAAGAAATGTCGAACCACTGGGTGTGGTGGCACACACACCTATAATCTCAGCATCCTGGGAGGCTGAGGCAGGAGGATTGAAAGTTTAGGACCAGCCTCAGCAAATTAGTGAGACCCTATCTCAAAATAGTTGAGGACACAGCTGCATGGTAAAGCATCCCTGGGTCTAATTCCCAGCACCAGAAGGAAAAAAAAAAAAAAGAGAATTGTTCAATCACCATTTCAACCATTGAATCACTGTTGGTGGTGGAAAGATATGTAGAAAAACATGGAAACCAACACTGAATTGAAAAGAAAAGCGTTATTTTGAAACAGGGTCTCACTAGTTTATCCCACCTCCCCAAAATTCATTTAACTCTTGTGTTCATCTGTCTCTGTTTCTTCCCTGAAGTTTGGGATATTAGTTCCAGTCACTTTCTGAGTCTGATACTTAGAAATACCTTGATGTCCCCACTACCCGGTCTGTTCCTACATGTCACTATTTTTTTACCTCACCATTGGCTTCTTAGATTCTCTTTCCCAGTCTACTGTCTCTCATTACCTGATCAAAATACAGAAATAAAGTATGTACATCACACACACATCCAAGATGGCATTATTTATTTGGTTGTTCTGAAGTAAATAAAATGTTTACAGAAAGAAATATTATTTTCTTATTCAAAGAAAACAGAGCAAATTAATTTGCCCATAATTATGATACAAATGGATCAGTGGGAGATGTGACAGAATGGAAAAATCAATATCAGAAGATCTTGGAAAAAGGGAAGTTGTTAATAGCTGAAGACAGGCATGAAAGCATTTCATTTAGCTTCACAACACTAACTGGTCATTTTTAATTTCATTTTAATAAGTAAGCTTTCTAAAATCACACAGGCAATAAACGTCAGACACAATTCGTAAGCAAAGGAATATGAGTCTAATACAGAACTTACAACAGAAAACTTAACTACAGTCACAAAACACAAACACACCCACGTACTTTCATTACCTGGTTCGGTGACACGTCTGCCAAGGTGCAGGGTACAAATGTCTTCTCTAAAGATTGAGGCAGACAGCGATACATGTCCTTCTCCTCCAGCTTCCAGTAGGTCAGTCCTGACATGACAAATGCACAGAACAACAAGGAGTGAGGAGAGAGCAAAAGTGCTTTCTAAAATAATAATACTATGTAAGGAAGATGAAAAATAGCAAGGAACTAGCTTCTGGCTACCTGGGGAAAGCAAGCTGAATTTTTATAAAGAATCAAATAAATGCCTTACCATGTCAGAATCCTGACTTAATAATGCAAATATTAAAACAGATATTATTAAAAGCCAAATGAATTAGTGCAACTTAAAATACATTTTGCAGGGGTGGGTACCAGGGATTGAACTCATGGGCACTCGACCACTGAGCCACATCCCCAGCCCTATTCTGTATTTTATTTAGAGACAGGCTCTCGCTGAGTTGATTAGGGCCTCATGCACCACCGTGCCTGGCTTAAAATATATTTTACTTTTTTATTTATTTTATTTTATTCTTTTTTTAGTTGTTGATAGACCTTTATTTCTTTTACATGGTGCTGAGAATCGAACCCAGAGCCTCACACATGCCAGGCAAGTGCGCTACCACTGAGTCATAGCCCTAGCCCTTAAAATACATTTTAAAACAGACAATGTCTTTTACTGTGCCAGGCTGCGAGGCAGAAGGAATGAGAAGTGAACAAGTGCAGGATACACAGGAGGTTGCAAGATGACAAGCACTCATCGCAAAGTTTCATAATAGGATAAATGGCTCAGGGAGGAGGCAGGACTATTTTCATAGGGTGATCAGGGTTGGCAAGCTGAGAGGGTAGCGATTACTCGGTACGTGGCCATTTTCACCATTCGAGGAAGTCTCCCCACATGGAGAGAAGAACACTTTCAACAGAGGAAGCAGCTGATGAGAAAGCCCTGAAATGAGAACTTGGCTCACTGGAGCAGGCCTGCTGGGCTTGGTGGATCTCTGTTATCCTGAGGAAACAGGGAACCACTGCAGGCCTCAGGGCAGAGGAGTCGCATACCTAACATATCTTCTGAAAGGATCCCTTTGACCACTCTGCTGAGGACAGGTTGGAGGGTGATGGGGGGCAGGGGAGCAAGGGCTGTTAGGAAGCTTGCAGAAATGGGGAGGGGAGGCCTTCCACGGGTAGCAGCAGGGAAGGAGGTTAAACTGGCTTGGATTCTGTGATACCTGTAAGGTAAAGCTAATCCATCCTCATAAATTAGATGTGGGAAATAAAGAAAAAGGAAAAAAAGGAAGGGAGCCCTAATATATAAAGATGAGAAGAGCTACCTAAACTTGTCAGCCACTCAGATCAGAATAGCTCACCAAGGATTGCACAAAATGGCTCACAGAGGCTCTGAATTTATTAATTCATTCTGGAGAAACTTAAAAAGGCTGAGATGATTTTTGCAGCCATTTGAAATTGTTGCAAAAGTACCTCATTCCTCTGTCCTTACAGACTTATTAATGCAAGCAAGAAAGTCATGGCTACCAGGGGATGCCATAACATGTGATGCCTTCACACAAACCATACTCCTACCCTATGTGTGGTATCACCATGGAGTGGGAAATGCAGCCAGCTGCAAAAAAAACTAAACCAACAAACCAGAACCTTGTGGAGAAAAGGAAAAAAAAAATCCAAAAATTAAAAGTTTTCCATACCTGTTCCTGAATCAGACATCCACGAGCTTGGATCTTCGTCTGGTTTAGAGAGGTAAAAAGCACGAGGGTGTGCAGCAGCAGGAGCAGCAAAATCAGACTGCAAGTCAAGAAAGAAAACACCAGACCACTAAAATCACTGCATACACACCACTGACCCAATGAGTGACCACCAGCACCACACCAGGTAAAGACCTACAGCGTGTCCATGAGGAAGAAGGTCCTGCTTTCCCTAGTTATAAAAGCACAAAGCAAGAGGACCAATAGTGAAGGACTTTCCTGCCCCTGTGTAATTCATAAGTTCATTCTGGTTCTCTGTGAAACTACAAAGAGAAAACTTGAATCTAATAAGTTCAGAACAAAAATATATTTATCATTTGCTGTCTACTTCCAAAAGAAATTTGAGGTGCCTGAAATTAAAGGATAAAAATGACTGTTTAACAATTTGTTTTGTTACAACTATAACAAATCAAATTAATTCTGAAGATCACATATCAATAATATGAACCTTAAATAGTAAAGTATTTCTTACACACTATTGGTTATTAGACACAAAAAAGGCTAAAAATACTTATTATCATCCATTCTGATAAAAATACTGTATTAACTTCTCTTCACAATCTTTCTGATTGCCACAAGAAATCTATTTCCAAACAGAGATATGTATCATGGATATTTCCATAGAACTTTATTTAGTTTTTATTTATTTATTTATTTATTTATTTATATTGGGTAGGGGTGCTGGGGGCTGAATACAGAGGCGCTTTTCCATGGAGTTACATCCCCAACCCTTTTTATTTTTGAGACAAGGTCTTGCTAAGTTGCTGAGGGTCTCACTAAATTGCTAAGACTGGCCTCAAACTTGCAATCCTCCTGCCTCAGCCTTCCAAATTGCTGGGATTACAGGTGTACGCCACCACACCTGACCCCATGGAAGCTTTTCTTATCAGTTCCTCCATCATGAAAGTTTTCATTCCCGTTAAAAAGGGTTTTGTTTTGTTTTGTTTTGTTTTAATTTTAATTTTTGGTAGTGGGGATTGAACCCAGGAGCACTGTACCACTGAGCTACATTCCCAGTCTTTTTTATTTTTTGAGACAAAGCCTCACTAAATTACTGAGGTTGGCTTCAAACTTGTGATCCTCTTGCCTTAGCCTCCCAAGTCACTGGGATTACAGGCATGTGCCACTGTGCCTGGAACTCCACCATTTTTATAAAGTGATAATGCTAGAATCTAAAAGTAAGCCTAAATTTGTCTCCAATTCTTCTGGATAGTATTAATTAGGTAGAAATGCATCTTTCAATAGCTTCTACCTTGTAAATCCTAGTTTATTGACTCCTTGAGGTCACAGGAAAACAGATCTTATCCTTGACTCACAGAAGTTTTCAAATTTAAAATGTTGGGCTGGGGATGTGGCTCAAGCGGTAGCGCGCTCGCCTGGCATGCGTGCGGCCCGGGTTCGATCCTCAGCACCACATACCAACAAAGATGTTGTGTCCGCCGCGAACTAAAAAATAAATATTAAAAAAAAATTCTCTCTCTCTCTCTCTCTCCTCTCTCACTCTTTAAAAAAAAAAAAATTTTTAAATGTTGTGGCCAGGTGCCATGGTGCGCACCTGTAATCCCAGCAGCTCAGGAGGCTGAGACAGGAGGTTCACCAGTTCAAAGCCAGCCTAGCAAAAGTACTAAGCAACTCAGTGAGACCCTGTCTCTAAATAAAATACAAATATAGGGCTGTGGATGTGGGTCAGTGGTTGAGTGCCACTGAGTTCAATCCCTGGTACAAAAAAAAAAAAACAGAAAAGAAAAATGAAACATGGTTTCCAGAGGTTGATATACTCCCTGGGCTAACCCCCCAGCAACTAAACAACTTTTCTACATGGGGAAATCTACCCAGGTCACCTCACTCACATTCTCTGACTCTGCCCAGCCCTCTTAAAAGTCTTTAAATTATATTTGCTTATGACCACTCATGCAGTCACTGCAGGAGCAACAGTAACTGAGATGGCAACACTTTATCTACAGGAGGACGTTAATCACACGAGCCTATAAAGCACCATTCAGCCTCTTTTTTTTCAAGAGACAAATTCCTCAATCTACTTCCTTTCTTAAAACTCTTACCTGGGGCTGTGGTTGTGGCTCCAGTGGTACAGCACTCACCTAGCATGTGGAGGCCCTAGGTTCGATCCTCGCTCGGCACCACATAAAAATAAAGGTATTGTGTCCATCTACAACTAAAATAAAAAAAAAAAAACAAAAAAAAAAACTCCTACCTATTGGACCAGGAAAGGTGGCTGGAGAAGTCCAAATCTAACAATCCCAAGTAGAACACTTCTCCCCACTGCACTGAAGCACAAGCTTCAGTGCACTGGGTGGACACCACAGGCGCAGGGCTCCCTGCACCCAGCAGCTTGCCCACAGAAGGCAGACAAGGCACCACTGAAGAAAACATGTCCTGCTCTGGAGGAAAATATAAGCATGGTGCAACAAAAAGCCCTTCTAAAACATAAACCCTCTGAGCTCAAGAAGCCAGTCCAAGCTGAGCACAAGGGTCATCTTGCAAGTCAAGGGGCCCCTCTGGAGAAACAATCAGAAGTTCTACAGCCTGGGAAATGGGTGACTCACTTCTATCCAAGACAAAGGACCAAGGAAACAAAGAACAACTTGAGCTCTAGAAAATACTTATTGCTAAACAATATACAATTTCAAGATGTACTTCAAAGCAGCTATTACTCAAAATAAAGCAGCACTGTGCAAAAAGAAAATTAGATCAGAAGAGATTCTGACAAGCATTCCCCCTTTAGAATGAAACTGAAAACAACAGGGAAAGAGGATCAAGAGGAAAGTGCCCACTATGTGAAGTCAGAATTATGCAGGAAGAATGCATTTCAAGTGTGCTGCCTCTGATTCACCAACCAGCACACCTCAAAATCATTCAAAGCTCAGAAATACAAAGAAACTTGATTTCCCCCAAATAATTCAATACCAAATATATCATTCACCTAAAAAAATGAAAAATTAAACATGCACAGGAGATGACCCAAAAAAAGGAAAAGACTCAGAGGGGACCATCACCTCTTGCCAGATTCTTGGCTGCCCTGCAGATGCCAGGGGAGAGATGCTGTCAGAAGGGCATTTCTGAGCAACAGGCAGGCAGCGGTAGCAAATCAAATTAATTTGATTCACCCTTGACCTGAGGAGGAAAGCTAGGCTGGCCAGCCTTTCCCAAACTGCATTGCACATAGGAATCACCTGAGGAGCTTTTAAAACTCCTCAAACACAGGTTACCCCCCACGCCAAGGCAGTCAGGACTCCTGGGCCTGGCAGCCGAGATAAGTATGTTTTTCCACCTCCTCAGGTGGTTCTAATGTGCAGTAAAGTTTGGGAACCACTGGACTACATCAAATATAGACTGAGATTCAATCACAAAACACAACAAAAAAACCCACTGAATCCAGTAAATACATAACACAAAGGAGAAAAGTCTTGAGGCTGGGGGTATTGCTCAGCAGTAAAACAGGTATTTTAGTACACTTGAGGCCATGCTGTCAATCCCCAGTAACAACAAAAAAAAAATTTTTAGAGATGGAGTTTGTTTTGGCCTTCCAAACAACAGAAGAAACTACATTAGAGAACATTCTCCATTTATGCCAACGTATGAAAAGAACAACATCAAAAAATCGGTTTTTATCTGTCTCCAAAAGTTTGCATGCTATCACACACACAAGGACAGCCCATCCTTGATAGCATATGAGTCAAAAGAACAGAATTGCCCAGGAGGTACCAAAGGGCTTTTCTAGGTTACAAAAGTTTTTATGCTTCATGCAGCTGTATTCACCTTCACTTCCCTCCTCCTGAACACAAATCTGAAAAAGTTCAAAGAAGGATGATATTAGAAAGCCTAATATCACACGTTGAAAACAGAAATAAGGGGTTTGGGGATGTAGCTCAGGGGTGGCATGCTTTCCTAGCACACATGAGGACCTGTGTTCAGTCCCCAGCACCAAAAATAAAGTACAAAAAAGAGAAATAAGTAGTGCCTTACTTATAAAGGCTGGGAATTATCTTCTTATGACTTCTTTAACAGATTTTTAGCCTTGGATGGTGAAAAGACTATATTTAAGACAATCAAGATTTAGCCAACAACCAACTTCTAAAGGTATCAAGTTCCAGAAAGACTAGACTTTGCAATTTCAACATATTTTTTTTTAAAAGAGAGAGAGAGAGAGAGAGAGAGAGAACTTCAACATTTATTTTTCCGTTTTTGGCGGACACAACATCCCTGTTTGTATGTGGTACTGAGGATCAAACCCGGGCCGCACGCATGCCAGGCGAGCGCGTCACCGCTTGAGCCACATCCCCAGCCCTGTAATTTCAACATATTATACTAAGTAATGCTGTTCTATGATACTTGAGACCAACAAAGGCTATACCAAAATACTGAAACTTGGCCAAATGAAGTGGCACGTGACTATAATCCCAGCAGCTCGGGAGGCTGAAGCAGGAAGATCGAGAGAGATATAGCTCAGTTGGTAGAGTGCTTGCCTCACATGCACAAGGCCCCGAGTTCAATCCCCAGCTACACACACACACAAAAAAAGAACAAAATAGGGCTGGGGATGTGTGGCTCAATGGTTAAGTGCCCAGGAGTTGAATTCCTGGTATCCCACCCCCACCCCCCCACCAAAAAAAAAAAAAAGTACTGAAATTTACTACATGTCTGGAACTCTTTAATGAGCTACTAAACTGGCATGGGGGCCACAATCAATTTAAACATTCAATCTCTTGTAATTTGGATTACAAATTCATAATTGTCCAAATTTCAATATCTTTATAAAGGCATCTTAAGGCTTCAATACATAAGAGTACTACTCCTTACAACTTAATAGTAATATGAATTATTTGAAGGGTTTTTCTGCTGTTTGTTTGGGGTGCTGGTGATCAAACTCAGGGCCTCAAATGTGCTAGGCAAGTATCTCATCACTGAGCTCCACTCAAAGCCCTGAAGGGTTTTATTAAACCATTAAATGGGTTACTCTCAGGCTAAATGTAAACATTCGCAGTTCACAAAGAAAGAAGACCCTTACAAATGATCCATGCTTGTAGTATTTTATCCCTCATGAGCTAATTTCCAGGCTACAAAAGCAGCAATATTTACAGCAAATCATTATGTTCAATCTTTTGAAATAAAAGAAAAATTTGTAATTGAACAAATTAACAAGAAAGGGCAAAAAAAAAAAAAATTATGACACTGAGAATTTGGCAAGCCCAAGAGCTCAGGCAGCCAGAGAGGGGACCAGCACCTACCTTCTCATTGGGAGGTCTCTTGCTATGCTCACTCCCCTGCTTAGATTTTGAACATCCATCCTCTATATGTGCTCTCTTGGTTTGGTTCTGCTTCAGCTTTTGTGCCCATGATGTTATGGATTTACTATTAAAGAAGAGAAAGCCAAGATACTTTTTTTAGATTCTGTCTTTCACATATAAGGGAAAACACAATAAATACTGCTTCAGTGGGAAATGCTTGGAGTTGTTTTTCTAGTAGGGGAAAGATAATGGGTTTTTAGTTATTCACCTAAATTTCTTTTTTCAATTTCTAATTACCAAAGGCAAAGAAAGCAAAGAGACTAACAGTGATTAACAATACATATAGGGGGCTGGGGATGTGGCTCAAGCGGTAGTGCACTCGCCTGGCATGCGTGTGGCCCGGGTTCAATCCTCAGCACCACATACCAATGAAGATGTTGTGTCCACCAAGAACTAAAAAAATAAATATTAAAAAAAATTCTCTCTCTCTTAAAAAAATATTTAAAAAAAAACAATACATATAGTCCATGGCCATGGCCAAGAACAAAAACCAAAACACACCCCCCAGCAGCACTTCAAGTACTAAATATTATCTCTACTGTTAAAGCACACTTATTAGGCCTGTGGCACACACCTGTAATCCCAGCAGCTCAGGAGGCTAAGACAGGAGAATCGTGAGTTCAAAGCCAGCCTCAGCAAAAGCGAGGTGTTAAGCAACTTAGTGAGACATTGTCTCTAATAAAATACAAAATAGGGCTGGGGATGTAGCTCAGTGGTCCAGTGCCTCAGAGTTCAATCCCAGTACCACCCCCTCTTACCCCCAAAAAGACAGGAGAATTACAGTTTTGAGGACAGTGACTTAATGAGACACTGTCTAAATTAAAAAAAAAAAAAAGGGGGGGTGGCTGGAGATGTACTTCAGTTCCCTGGTTCATAAAAAAGGAAAGAAAAGGGCTGGGGATGTGGCTCAAACGGTAGCATGCTCGCCTGGCATGCGTGCGGCTTGGGTTTGATCCTCAGCACCACATACAAACAAAAATGATGTGTCCGATGAAAACTAAAAAATAAATATTAAAAAATTCTCTCTCTTTAAGAAAAAAAAAGAAAAAACACATTTATTACATATATGAAGACACGAATGGTGTGACTATACTTTGTGTACAACTAGAGAAATAAAAAATTGTTAGGCTGGGGATATGGCTCAAGCAATAGCACGATCGCCTGGCACGTGCGCGGCCCGGGTTCGATCCTCAGCACCACATAAAAAGATGTTGTTTCCGGCAAATACTAAAAAATAAATATTAAAATTCTCTCTCTCCCCCCCTCTCTTCTCACTCTCTCTTTAAAAAAAAAAAAAATTGTGCTCCGACTGTGTAATATGAATTGAAATGCATTCTGCTATCATGTATAACAAATTAGAATAAACTTATTAATTTAAAAAAAAAATCATTGGCAAAGATGAATAATTATACTTGAGGAGGGTAATAAGATTTGTGTTGCTATAGCTAAGCACCTTTAGCTGACACATCTGACATGTGAAGATATTAAATTGAAAATTTAGGATAAACTCCAAAATCATTATTTAATTAATTTATTTATTTTTACAAATGAGTATGGGGCTGGGGTTATGGTTCAGCGGTAGAGCACTAGCCTAGCATGTGGGAGGCCCTGGGTTCAATCCTCAGCATCACATAAAAGTAAATGAATAAAATAAAGGTATTGTATCTATCTACAACTAAAAATATTTTTTAAAAAAACAGTATGTGTGTACATAAGTTTTGGTTTCAAATCACATGAACATGAGTGACAAAATCCCACTAGTAATGTAATTATTATAATTTGTTAAGTTTTTAGCAAATTTGTATATTAGTCACTGTAAGAAACATAAAAAATATTTTTCTGGCAAGGCCTCCTACCTTAAGATTTAAGTCTTATAATATTGCAAATGGGAAGAAAGTCAAATGTCCTTAGTATATAGCAGACTTTATTTCAATTTTCTACATGCAACAAATAAAAAATAAATTTAATGATACAACTGTTACTTCTTTTTTTTTTTAATTTTTAGTTGTTGATGGACTTTATTGTCTTTATTTTTATGTGGTGCTGAGAATCAAACCCAGTGCCTCATGCATGCTAGGTGAGCACACTACCACTAAGCTACAACCCCAGCCCTAAAACTGTTAAATTTTTAAAAAATCTTATTCTCTTACAGTCCAGTTAAGAGGAACTGTATTTACTAGATTCTGAATGTAATCAACGAGTAAAAATCCTCTTGAATGATGGAGAAATTCTACTTACCTATCTGCTTTTCCACTGTATACTTCAGAAATCTTATTTTCACCAAGAAAATTATGTTCAAATTCATCAGGAAAACTGGAAGTATCTTCCTTTAAAGATTCACAAAACTCTTCGGGAGATTGTGCATAAAAACTGCCATTTCCTGCGCCATCTACAGGCGAATCTGTCTGCACTCCTGGTGCTGGGTATTGTCCCTTGGGAAGGCCTGTGTGCTCCATGAGCTCTGCAGGGTCCTTGGATTTGTAGGTGTTCAATTCTGAGATACAAAAGGTGCCATACCCACTGCTCACAGAGCTGCCGTCCACATTGCAGTCTGGCTGTGATGTGGACATTTCTTGTTGCATCTCGGGCTCCTTAGGCTCAGGATAACTAATAACAGATTCATTTCTTTCACTATTTTCAGAAAAAAAACCCATCTGACTTTCTGAAAATAATTGTTTGCTTGAAGGACTTTTATCACTAGAAGCCCAGGAACCATTACTGATCTGCAATTTGACTAAATTTCTGATCTCCTCCTGTATACGCTGCAAACAAGAAGTTAAAGATTGGGTAAGAAACTATATTCACATCACATTTTTACAAATGTTATAAAAATGCCATGTTTACAATATATCACTCTAAACATATCTTTAGTTCACAAAAAAATTGATATAAAGTATAAATTGTTTTGCTGAAAATCTTATAAATACTAAAAACAAAAACAAGAAAATCAATATAAATGATTACTTACTTGAATTTGGTTGTGGAACTGTTCTTGCTGAGCAACTATTTGTTCTTGGCATTGTTTTTCCACCAAATTGAACAGCTGTAACCACCTAGTCTATTATAAAATATCTTAGTTAAAAAAATTTTAACTATTTCACAGAAAAATTCCTTCAATGTGATATAGCTTTTTAAAAATAAAGATTTTAATTTAAAGTTTATAAGCAAAATTAGTTTTTTTTTTAATATTTAATACAAAAATATAAAGACAAGAAGCTTGGGTACCACCAACTCTCCCCCACTTTTTTTTCCCCTGCTGCAGTTCTGTGGAATGAACCCAGGAGCACTCTACCACAGAGCTACTCCCCCCATCCTTTTTATTTTTTTATTTTATTTTTTTTGAAACAGGGTCTCACTAAATTGCCCAGGCTAGCCTCCAACTTGCAATCTTCCTACCTCAGCCTCCCATATCACTCAGATTATAGAAATACATCTAGTTACCCCCTTTAAAAAAAAAATTCTACGTGTAGATGGACAGCATGCTTTATTTGTTTATTTTTGTGGTTTTGAGGATTTAACCCAGTGCTTTATGCATGCTAGGCAAGCACTCTGCCGCTGAGCTATAGCCCCAGCCCATCGTTACCCCTTTTTTATGTAACCTGCAATATGGACAAATAGAAGGTCTGGGTAAAGTTTTTATTGAATAATGCTCAAGATAGACTGTCCCTGTTTTTCAGTAGAGCTCAATTTTATTAGATCCAAAGCCTTACACACAAGTTTTCTTTTCACTGTTACTTTGGGGTGTGTGTGTGTGTGT